GTGGGTGGTTGGCGGGTGCTCTGTGTGGTTTGCTCCTTCTTTCCTATAAAAAAAAACTATCGTTCTTCTCTCTCGTCCTCATTTTTAGTGTTTGTTACTCTCTTGTTAATCTTTATCACTTATAATATGACCTTTATTGTTACAAGTGCCGTAAGACTCTTACGAAAAATAAACTAACTTGCGTTTCTATAATTCGTCTTGCTTTTTTTCCCTTCACTCATTGGTATTTATTGGGACTATGAGCATTTCTTTCCTCAAATAAACAAACCAATCTGCTTGCCATATTAAGTCTATTCCATAACGCCCTATCTGTCCAGAGTGGCGAAGTAGATATCTGCTATAATTCATCTCTAATGTTATATACTCGGGATGGTTTGCTCACATGTAAATTTAGAAGAAAAAAAATTAACCTTACAAAAACAATCAGAACTTATCTACAAAACAAATAAAGGTGTTTGGACCAACAAGCTCATTTGACGAGTCCATGGACACAATAGTATTCTTGGTTTATTCCTGGTCTGCAGTGAGATTGTTGAATCACACCATTCCTTTTTTTTTAGCGTCGGTGGCCTGGTGGTTAGGCTCTCGGACTCGCAACCGTAAGGTCGTGGGTTCGAATCCCGTCAGGGGCCCGACATTGTGTCCTTGGGAAAGGCACTTAGCACAAATTTTCCTCACTTCACCCAGGTGGAAACGGGTACCCGGCTATAGACAGTGAACGATCTTGTTAGTTTGATAGTGTTTGAACGCGTGAAATACGCAGCTTGCACTGTATGCTTCTGCGGAAGCCGAGAATGTTTCCGAGTGTTCTCAGAGGGTCTGTTGGGGTAATAATAGTTGTAAAGCGCATAGAGCTTGCTCCTGAGCATGGATATGAGCTATATAAATGCAATTATTTTTTTTTCAGAAGAACGTGATATCAGGATGTAAGAGTTGGGGGTGGGCAAGGGAGATTGAGCGAGAGAGAAAGAGAGAGAGAAAGAGAGAGAGAGTGAGAGAGAGAGAGGGGGGGCAGATAGAGAGAGAGAGAAAAGAGAGAGAGAGGCAGATAGAGAGAGAGAGAGAGAGAGGAGAGAGAGA